TCTGCCTCCTCTTCCTTGTGGTTCCCCAAGCTTTAAGGGGACGTGTTTTAGAGCTATGTGTTTCCGTGTGTGTGTGTGTGTGTGTATGTGTGTGTGTGTGTCTTTCTCTCTGCCTAGTATCTGGCCTTTGCATAATTTCCTGTGAAGTGAAAGAGAAGGATTCTCTGATGAAGGCTGAATCAGGCACTGGTCTAGAAGTGTATCACACTACCATTAGGAGTCATTTATTGTTAATATTGTTTTATTTGGGTCTCAAGGCTGTCTAGCTTGTGGTTCTTGGTCACCTAAGAAGTGTCAGGTTATTAAAGATCTTAAATGTTAGCTCATGCATAGATGCCAGTAGAACTGTAATGATTTGAGCAAAGCGTACACATAAGAGCCAGCAACTCCTTTCCTTTTCTCTATTATTTCACCTCATCCTTATTAACCCTCCACCTTCCCTACCAGTCTCTTTTCCAGGTCTGGGACATTTGGTTACTCTTATGATCTATTTAGTTTATCCAGCACAACTGTGGGATCACTGGGTAGGAACTGTCTATTTTAGCCTAGGGAAGTTACCAGTAGGCACATAACTGAAGACATTTACTCCCTGAAAAAGTCAGTAGAACATAATTCAGTGATGAAGGCTGGGATGGGAGCTTCTGAACCAATCCTCAAACCATATCTGACTACTGATAACTCATTCATGTACACACCTAGTGACCATGACTGTGAGTTCATGATGACGATGCCTATGTTTTGCCCAGAAGGTGACATTTCACAGTCTTTGCTCATATCTTCTGGCTTTTGCATTTTTTTTCCTGCCTTTTCTTCATTAATGTTTTTGTGAGCCTTAAAGAGTATGCCATAGTGTGCTGATTAAGGCTGAGCACTTACACGTAACTGATTCTTTACATTTTATGTAGATATGAGCCTTTGCATCCACTGTCATTTATTAGAAAGAGAAGATTCTCTGATAAGGTTGAGGACAGTATTTTGTGATGGGTATAAATATAAATGTTTACAAGGCAAATTTGCACTAAGTGAGTTCAGCTAAATGACCTCCCCTGCCATGAGGTTTTTCTACCATGTTTATTATGCCAAGCATCGATTCTCTTGTGTGACACTCTTCCTGGTGAGATGTAATCATTCTACTCACTCCTGATAGAGAACCAACAAGAGAAAATAAAGTAAGAACACAAGCACAGTCTAACTTAGAGAGCCTTTGGGTTTTAGTCTAAGATAATTGCAGTAGAGTGGGTCAGTGTTATTTGCAGGAGCAGAAATGACTCAAAGACAGCTACATCACCAAAAGCCTACCCCCAAAATACATAATACAAAAGCTTAAAGCCTCACTGCACAATTTTCAGGCAGCTTGACAAATTGGAGTGTCTCTTGACAGGCATTTCAGTTTGTGTGAGTTTCTAGGCAGTTCAGCTAGACTGTACTTTTTATAGCTCCTGTGTCCGTTTTCTACTTTTTTCATGCTGTCTGGGTGATCTGGGTGTATTCTCGCAACCTGGCTGGTCTCTGACCCTTCCCGGTGGTTTGGCTATTCAGAGCTTCTTTTAGGAAGCTTAGTTACACAGAGTCTCTTTCAGCAGTCATTACTGCTTACATATGCTTGGAGGAAGAGGGTAGTGAATCATGTCAGTTTCAGCGATTTGCTGATGCCATTAAAAGTTGTTTAGCTCCTAGTCTTAAAGATCTTTCATGAAGAATAAAGAGTTTTTGCCTCCCTTTAGCATAGGCTGTGTCTTAACAAGCTTCCCTATGAGCTTCCTTGTAGGATCAAATGTTTTACTGCCTTTAAACAACCTTTGTCTTAATGTGTCCTTCCATCCAATACAGAATGTGTTATCTTGTGGAAGAAATCACTACACAGAATTGCTCTTATGGAATGGGACTAAAATCCAGTCAGAGAATGTTTGGCTACTTTCAAAAGAGTAGTACCATTAATTCACAAGTGGGAACATCTTGTCTGGCTGCTCAGATTCATAGCTTTTAAATATTTTAGATACCTTTTCTCCCTTAGAAGACTACACAGTACCTCCTGGACTATGAAAACCTCTGTCAGAGAGGAAGCTTGCATCTCAGCTCCAGCTTGATTTCTATGTATTATGCAACAAAGATTTGTGGTGTTCTCAGAAACAGAATTTTGTCAGCTAGTTGTGGTGGGCAACCAAAAACAATGGCAAGAACCTTTGTTTGTTTGTTTATTTGTTTGTTTGAGGGACCTCTGCCATACACCTAACCATTATCTATCCTGCCACTGGCCCTGGAGATACATGTCTTCAAGCAGTAATTTTTGCCAGCCTTGCAGTACACCATATTTGTTTTGAATCTTTTCTTTCATGTACCAAAATGAAGGCTTGGTAACAAAATTCAGGAAGGTGTTAGAAAGCTACAACATCTTCAAGCCTAGAAAATTTGATGCTTAAGTAAAGTAAGAGATATTTTTAACAGATTAGAAAAAAGAGAGACAGTACTTGGAAAATAACAGGATTTCATTAAATCAGTGGCATGGAGGAGACTCGGATTATGTCCAAGAGAAGACATTAAGTATATGGGGAAGCTAATTAAAAAAAAATCATACTTCAAGCTGTATATATGATATGGACAAGATAATAAAAAGATTATTAAGCCATGCAAAGTATCATATCATAAATGGAAAGTGATGGATAATTCTAGAGAAGAAAAGGATAATGTGTTAAGTTGATAGTTTCTCTGAGCATAGGAAATGTATCTGAGAATATTTAAGATATTGTTCTATAGGAGGCTTTAACAACTGAGGAATTTTTATGGTTCAGTTACCTGTTAAAATAGCTACATGTAAGGGATTAAATCAATCTGACATTTTCTCAGACAGTTGGGAATAGTGCTGCCTTAAGACCTAGCTATACCACTCCTGGGCGTATGCTCAAAAGATGCTCCACCATACAAAAAGGCATTGTCTCAACTATGTTCATAGCAGATTTATGTATAATAGCCAGAATCTGGAAACATCCTAGATGTCCCTCAACTGAAGAATGGATACAGAAATTGTTGTACATTTAAACAATGGAACAATTCTCAGCTATTAAAAACAAAAAAAAATCATGAAAATTTCATGTAAATGGATAGAACTAGAAAAGATTTTGCTGCGTGAGGTAACACAGAAGCAGAAAGACATGTATGTATATACTCACTTATAAGAGGATATTAGCCATATAATACAGGATAACCTTACTACAATCCAGAGACCCAAAGAAGCTAAATTACAAGGAGGACCCTAGGGGGATGCTTAATTCTCATTCAGAAGGGCAAACAGAATAGGCATTGGAAACAGCTGAAGAGAGGAGACAGGATGGGAGTCTGCCATAGATGTCCTCTGAAAGACTCCACCCTGCAGGGAGTCAAAGCAGATAGGGAGACTCACAGCCAAACTTTGAACAAAGCACAGGGAGACTTAGGAAAGAGTGAGGGAATAGAAGGACCCTGAGGGGATAGGAGCTCCATAAGAAGACCAACAGTGACAACAAATCTGGGCCCAGGGGGTCCTGCAGAGGTTGATGCACTGACCAAGGATCATGCAGGGAGAGGACCTAGACCCCTGCTCAGATGTAGCCCATTGACAGCTCAGTCTCCATGTGGGTCCCCTAGGAAGGAGAGCAGGGGCTTTCTCTGACATGGACTCTGTTGCCAGCTCTTTGCTCACTTCCCCCTGCTGAGAGGGATTTGCAAGACAACCAAGGAAGAGGATGCAGGTACTTCCTAATGTGTCTTGTTAGGCTGGTGTCAGAGGGGAGGGGGGAGGGCTCCCCATTTCTGAGGAATAGAGGATGGGGAGAGGGAGTAAAGGTGGGGCTGGGAAGAGACCAGGGAGGCAGCTACAATCGGGATATAAAGGGAATAAACTATAAGAAATAAATTTAATTAAAAAATGACAGGTTTGGGAACCGCTTCTACAATGTGTCATATCTACCTGGGGGTATGGATTATTGATAGTGAAGAATTTAAAACAGGGGCTGGAAAGATGGGTCAGTAATTGAGAGCCCTGGATCCAGGTCCAATTACCAGCCCCCGTGTGTACATGGCAGCTCACAGCTATCTGTACCTCCAGTTCCAGGGGATCCAAAAGGCTCATACAGGCATTAAAGCAGGTGAAAGACCAATGCACTGAAGTCAAATTAAAAAAAAAAAATCTGGAATTGTTATGCTCGTTTTTAAATTCTATTTCATTTGAGGTATTTAAGCTTCTACCACTCCTTCTTTTTCTCATATTTGTATTCCTCAGAGCCCTAGACCACACGCCTCCCTGTGCTGCATGAGGCAGGCCATTACCAGCTGACAAAGACCAGGCCCCACATGAGGCAGTTATCAGCTGTGTACAAACTAAAGACCAAACTAAAATCCCACACTTGGGATTAAAACAACAATACATTTATAAAACATAATTGAGTGTTTAAAAAAAACAAACTTAGATTAAATAGAATAATTTCTGTCTTTTGGCCGTTGTGTGCCAGTAATAAAACCATGGTGATAACTATAGCTCAAGTATTAAGTTGGTGCTGTCAGAGGAAAGTATGGGATGGAATACTGAATTGGTTGGAACTGAAACACTTTAAGTACATTATGCTGCTAGATAAAGTTTCCTGACTTTTATAATTACACATTAAAATGAATAACAAATATTGCCTCATAAACTTTAAGTACATATCTAAATATGTGCTTATACAGACAGTGTAAAAGAACCTAGGCCCAAAGCTTGATCCTGCATCCTGTCATACATACAGTAAGATCTACAACTGCAAATCAGATCATGAAGCTTGCTTCTGTCCTTATGCTATTTATTATCTGCAACTGTGTACTCTTCTGTAACTATTAACTTGAACAAAACCTTCTGTTTTTTTTTTCAGTATCCAAGATTCACCATTTTTAAAGACAAAAGCCAGTTTACCTTTTTAAAAAAGGAAAGTACATTCTTAATAAATCAGTGCACTGAAGGAGTCATTTTTTTTCTTCTGTCTTTATTCTTTCAGTCAAATTTCCTTGCCCACCCACAAGGCCTTACAGATGCAGAAATGACAGGATTTGCTTGCAACTTGAGAAAATATGCAATGGGATTAATGACTGTGGGGACAACTCTGACGAAGATCACTGCAGTGGTAAATCTGTTCAATTGGAAATATTGATTTAGGAGCAAGTTGCAGGATAAGAGAATAAATTTGTACTCTAAAGAATTCCTTGTGGATATGTGAAGATTTGTTTCTAGGCAGAAGAGTTTGTGACAGCCATGTAAAAGTCACCCCCTAACATTTCATCTGCATAAAAAAAAGCTGTATGACTGTATCTAAAGCCTGCCACTCAAGTACTTCACTCAAGATAATATCAATCTTACAAGAGAAACAAGATGGTTTAAAATAATTCCTTGTTGAAAGTAGAGATGGAAGGGGGGGATGGTCTGTATGAATTATGTGTAGACATATATATTTTGTTTCTCAAGATTCTGATAAACAAGAACTTTCTAGAGCAGAGATATATGAGTAACAAGGTTGACTCAGATACCATGCTGGACCCAACCTCATCTAAGACTGTCTGCAGCAGATAAAAAGTCCTGCTTTCTGAAAAAGTCATATCAAAACCTTCTGCTGTAGGAGATTACTACACACACACACACACAGCACACACAGAAACACATGTAATTTATATCAAGTGAACATATAACAGAAGAGGACAAAACCTAACCAGATATCACATGCTACCAAACAAAATCTCTAGTACCAAGATTGGGTTATATCTTTTTCAATTGTTGATCCATGGGTTCCTATAGACCCCTCCCTCAACACATAAATTACTGTTTATACTCTGGATAATACCCCACAAACTGACAGTGCAGAGTGTATTGCTGAAGACATACTTGAAGTAGAGAACATGAGAAAAATCTAGGTAGTGTTCAAATGACAGCTTCATTCCTACTGGAAAGCTTTCATGATAGTTAATAGTGCTATGAATATTACCAAAGGAGAAAAATGATGAACGATCAAAACCCAGATGGGAAACCTGATACTACAATAATGGCCAGCCTGACAACATAAGATCATTGGCTCAACAGTGGCACAGATATTATGAAAGTAAAAAAAAACAAACTCATTTTAAGTTAGACTCAAGGCTTGATCTACCAGATGGAAGCCATACCTCATACTCTCAGTAAGGGTATGAATCTGAGTCTAGACAAGCCATGGTTCTTAGAGTATAACCTACTGCTGTTATTGTACTAAATGCACATAGTAATAAAATGACATACTGACCCATAGAGCAGTATGTTTCTTAATTTTTGCCAAAAATGTTTCTATTTCAGTAGACAGTGATAAATACAGATGACCACAACTAGTCAGTGTGCAAAGAATGCGAGACTTAGAAAGCATCAAACCAAAGAGGGGTATATATACCACACTTCCTCCCTCAAGGCTGAGATTTATGTGAAAGAGCAAACAGAAATATGAAAACACAGAGGAGGTGGATGACTTCAAGGAAACTGTGTTTTACAGACAATGTACATATGAATTATCAGAAACCATGACAGCATGCATAAGCCATACACAATCTCAAGACAGGCAAATTCCCAACATGAGCGCTGCAGGGAGTGAAAGTCTGTCTCCTCGATAATAAACAATTCACAATTGATAGGTGCTAGAAGAGGGAAAGTCTGTGAAGTTGAACTGAGTATATCAACCACAACCCAAAGTATGAGAACCATGCTCAGGAGTCATTGGCCTAGACAAACTGGACATTTTCTTTTATCTTGTTTTGTTATTTATTTCTTCATTTAAATAAGAGAAAGATAAATAAGAGAGAGACAAATAAGAGATGAAGTTGGGCAGGTAAATCGATATGAAATATCTGGGAGGAGTGGAGAAGGAGAATGAATATGATCAAAATATACTATAAGAAATTCTCAAAGAACAATTTAAAACATTAAAAATTCTACTTGGGATTGATATTCATACATTTTTAATAAAAGCTGGATTTTGTTTAATATAGGGAATATTTTCATTTTCTCACATTCTAAAATCTCCAAATATCTGTTTTAGCACGTAGAACTTAAATTATAAGACATAAAATTCTGTGTTTCCATAGAATTTAGTACAGTCTTGAACACAGCGTGAGCTCAGTATGTTCAGTTTGATCATGAAACACTAACTAACCAGGTTCTCAATGCCTCCACAGGTAAACTGTTATTTAAAGCCACGCCTTGTAGGAAGGATGAATTTACTTGCAGTAACAAAAATTGCATCCCCATGGAGCTGCAGTGTGATGGGCTTGATGACTGCGGAGATGGCTCGGATGAGCAAGGCTGTACAAAGAGTGAGTGGCCTGAATGAAGGGAGTGCAGAAAGCCAGATGGGCTAACACGAACTATTCTGCTCTGTGCGGAGAGGACTCTTCACAGTATTCCCGTATCGGACATTGGCTAAAGTAACATTGCCTGGAACAGAACTTAACTTTTGGACCCTAAGATGGGATGGTTTGATTTTGCCATACATTTTATCAGTTGATGTAGTTTAGAGACAGCATGGTGTTTTCTCCGTTATAGTACTCCTCTGATTTATTTACCCTTAAAATACTTTAAAAAACTGAAATTAAAACTGATGTACTGAAATTATGGGGAAGACTTGCTTTGTTATAACAGCATAGTAACCCTGTTTTCCACTCAGATGTCGTTTTTTGTTAGTGTGTGCAGATGTAAAAATGGAGCAAGCTATGAATTTAGCCTTCTGGCCCCTGATGAATTCATCCGCAGGGAAGTAGTAAAAATCTTGAGGCCATCCCTAGAAAGGGTTCTGGCTTTTGGAGAAGGATACGGGATGGATAAATGTTCTGAAGATGGCCTTTCAGGAAAATCACTGACGCGTCACTCAGTTTTAGGAAGAGGTGTGGCTTGAAAACAGCTGTCAGTATCAGTGTTGGCAACTGTTCTCAGCTGTATTTAATGTAATGATTTCAGTTTTTTTTTCTTTCTGCCCTTCAACCTTTATGAGAAAAAAAAAAGAGTGTTTGAAAACTAGAATATTTAATGGGAGTTATCCATGTAATAAAACATATATCAAATTCAAGGAATATACTAATTCGAAATCCGGCATCATATTAGTTTTGATTCTGCTATCTTTAAATCCTAGCTCCCACTGAGCACACCTGTGAGAACAATGGGAAGTCTTGTGGAGATGACGCATATTGTAATCAAGTAAAAACATCTGTTTTCTGTCGATGTAAGCCTGGATTTCAGAGAAACATGAAAGGCAAGGAGTGTGAAGGTACAGTACATTTTCTTAGCAGCTTGTATTCAAATCCGTAGCTTATAAAGATTCCCAAGACAGCTAAGTTGTGAGATGACTGGGGACTGATTTTCATAAGAGCTGTCTGTCTGTGGGCTATCATTTCACTTACGGGAGAAAAAGAGTCTCTGGCGCGAAGAGACTGCTTCATTGCACCAAGTTAAGCATCCATGAGACTACAAAGCCTCTCTGAACAAACTCAGACCTGTAGGAATTGGATTTGTGTCATAGCAATTCTGTTTTGAAATGCAAATAATGAATTTATTGTTTAAGAACTATTGAAATATTAGACCTATTTCATGAAACAATGTGTTTGAGATGATCCATTTCTCCTGACTATGACATTTCTCATGCTGTAGCACTTCAAGAAACTTGTAAGCTTTGTCCAAGCACCATGTTATCAATAATCCTTTATAATATGTCTTGAAAATTCAAAGCTGGTGTCTAAATGACATTCTCATCAATTTGCTTCTGATCACAGAAAAATTAGGCATGAAGTAAAGAGAGAATACCAGAGTAAGTCATACGTAAACATAACTTACATCAGGGCTTTAACTATAGAGTCATAAAGTACACAACCAAATATGTATTTGCAATTTTTTCCAACAAAACAATTTTTATAATTATATTTAACTATTATTATAACTTGAAATAATCTCAGGGGTCTGTCTGGCATACTTCTGCTAAACACAAATTATTGTTACTTTTATTAATAATGTTATATGTATGTATACATGAGTTTATGTGAACACACAGAGGCTAGAGATGGGGACCGTTCCTCTATGACTCTCCATCTTGGTTTTGTGAGATGAAGTCTCTCACTGAACCTGAAATTCACTGATTGGTTGGACTCCTTGGCCAGCAAGCTCCAGAGATCCTTCTCTTCTCTTTGTTCCCCTTTCCCAAGTGCTGGGATTATAGGTGTGTTTTTTGTTGCCTAGAATTTTATGTGGGACGTGGGGATCGAAGCTCGGGTCCTTGTGCGTGTGCATCAGGCAGTGTATTCCATGGGTCGTCTCCCCAGGCCCATAAAAACATTCTAAAATAATTTGCTCTTCTTATCTCTTTAAATTCATGGTTTTAAAATGCCTTTACATTTTATCAAGCAACCTGAAAAAACCTAATTAATTATACTCACATGAAGATAAAAGCCAAGTTTCTATACACTGAGTAATCAGCTCAGGTGGACTATTTTCTTATTACCATGTGACACTGAAAGTTGATAAACTAAGTTTTCTCTGTTTTAATTAAAACCATTTTTCTTTTTATGGCTCTCTGTCAATTATATGTAAAATACATACCCACAGAAACTCTTCAGGCATTAGTTCCGACAGTATTAATTACCTGAAGAGTCTGAACCTGAAGGCTGTGTTCCTGTGGATGCTTACTAACTTAGGAATTCTGTTCTCAATATTTTCTTATTTTATTCTCTTGCAGGTAAAATACAGCCATAACTATATTTGTCATTTCATATTGCCATTTGTTCACGATTTATACACACCTCTGTCATAGATGCAAGTCAGTTCTGCACATTAGTTAAATATGTGTCTAAAGTAAATATATTTTTATAGTAAAGAAAGCAATTTCCATTTTATATTGAGAAAGAAAGAGGCATTACCTAGATTTTGTAATGTAGTTTATTAGGGTCCTTCACTTGCTCATGTAAGAAAAGAGAATAAATATTGTTGTTTTATATTAAACTCAAAACACTTTCCTTGAAATAACCAGAGGAAATAAAGACCAGAGCATTGAACAGAAACAGAAAAGATTGAAGGGATGCTGTGTGCAGACACGGTGAATGTATGAAATCAGAATGGCCATATTAAAAGATGAGGAATCTTTTACAAGGTAAAACACAGGTTTATCATAGATTCCATGTCAAGGGTAAGCTGTAGAAAGAGCTGACACCCTAAACAAAGCAGAACAATCTGCTATAATTTAGATGATTAAGTGTTGATGATACATGTTACTCCTTCCCTGAATAATTCTTTCTGATATAAAGTAAATGTTCATTTCTGTTTATATTTTCAAACACAGAACGTAGTTGGAACTACAATGCTTCAGGTGTCCTTGGGGAAGTGCCATAATAGCACAGGGAACAGAATGCCCAAAGTTGAGTGTATGATTTCACTGTGTCATATGCAGGTGTGACTGAGAATGGTTTGGTCTAGCATTGAGCCTTTAGAGAGTTGTGGAATGCTAAACAGAAAAAAGTTACTTTACTGTACTTAATCTAATTTGAGGCAAGAAGTTATCTTACAGTCTTATTACATAATTTAGGGCAATTAGTTCTAGGCTCTATTTATGTCCTTAATTCAGTGGCATATTTTAAATCACAGACATCACCTGTGACTTCTTTACTTATTGCTGACTTAGCCCTACTCATGTGCAGATGGGTGCTCAGGTTTTCTGTTTAGTTCTTAGAGGAGTTCTTAACTTGCAATAGTGAAGATGGATGCTGAGCTCTTCTCTCGTAGATCTCAATGAATGCCTGCTGTTTGGCATATGCTCCCACCACTGTCTAAACACACAAGGATCCTATAAGTGTGTCTGTGACCAGAACTTTCAAGAAAAAAACAACAGCTGTATAGCAAAAGGTAAGGTAATTAAAAAAGCATTTCAACTCTGTCATGAATATCTAATGGAGAAAATTTGTATGTTGCGTTTTATCAAAAGACTTATTCTTAAAAATATAAATATGTATATATTAAGACAATGTGACTATTTTACTTTGAAATGTGAACAATTAAATATTTCCATTTAATTAAAAATATCATTTCTTTATTCTGGAAACTTCCAAAGTCTCCTTTGGGAGCACTTTGCAACATCTGCAATCAATTATGCTGGCCTGCACTGCCCCACTGCTCAGCACACCACTCAAACTTGCCCCCTTGTGTCTGTGCCTTATCTTCTTAACTAGCCTAATTCAAAGTGGTTTACAGGAAAAATCATTAAATATAAAGCAAAAGGTGTTAAAATTACGTTGTGTTTGAAGCGGTTTGTCAGTAGAATAAAATATTTAAGCAGTAGTCTGATAACCTAAATTAAGTGTTTCCATTGATGGTTCTGTTTCAGTGAATGTAAAAATTATTGTACCACTGTAAAACCCTGAAATCCTAAGGGCTAGGATTATAAAAAGGAGGTTGTTTGTGTATAATTTTTTATAGTTTGAGTATAAAATCTTATTTCTAAATTAGTTTCTTCTCAACTTCCTGATACAATTTTTAAGTTGAATATATATTTTATTGCTCATGTAATTTTAGAAAATTATATAGCTTTAATAGTCTCAGCTACACAGTATAACTAATAAGACAATTTTATGACAAAACTGTTGCGATGTCATGTATCATGTATGTGAACAGTGTTAGGTACACTTAAATTTGAGTCCTATGACCATACTTTCAACATGACATGGCCTAGAGGAGGTTATTGAGGTCCTTGAGGCTCGGTTATTCATTTATAAAATCAGAATACTTATATTTATTTCAATGAGAAGCTTGGTTCTTCACTTATAAACTCACAGTACTCATTTATTCCCATGATTTCTGTAAGAAATTGAAATAATTGAAAAAGAACTAACATAATATCCAAAGAATACTAAACATTGAGGAATATTTAGACTATTAAATATATTGTATATTATCAAATTGAGTGAGATAAAATGTGGTTAAAACTTAAATAATTCAGGCCACCATTTGCTTACAAATATGATGTATACAACTTTTCAAGATGAATTATTATTATTATTATCATGGTTATTTAAAAATAACTATATATGCAGCTCAAATTGCTCTACGTTTTAATTAATATTTTAATAATACCAGAATCTCATTGTGGTGTTCCTTTTCAATTAGTGTGAAAATGATAATAGTATGTGTTACAAGTGTCAAAACTTAGGGTGTACTGTTGCAATCGATTAGAAATAAATTATAAATTACAAAACTTTAATGTAACAAATACATCCTTTTCAAATGCCAAATGTATGCATATAAATTAAGCTTTTTAATTAGAAAAAAACTAAATGACTGCTATAGATTATTGTAAACTATTAAACAGAAATCAAATGTCATGAAGAGTAATATATGTATCATATACCTGATTTTTACTTTGGAAGAGATTGTATAAAAAAATAACAACTCAAGATAATTTAAGGTACATCATTACTTTTGCTCTAGTTGAAATTTCTTCTATTTTGTATTTTATTATAATAATCTGCAGGCTCTGAAGATCAAGCTCTCTACATAGCTAATGACACTGACATCCTGGGTTTTGTATATCCATTCAACTACAGTGGCGGTCATCAGCAGATTTCTCATGTTGAACGTAATTCAAGAATAACAGGGATGGATGTGTATTATCAAAGAAATGTGATTGTCTGGAGTACTCAGTTTAATCCAGGTGGGATTTTCTACAAAATGATCGATGGCAGAGAAAAGAAGCCAACGCATAGTGGCTTGATTGTAAGTAAATGCAGAGTGTTTGAAGGCCATGCCTTCTTTCCACATTCTTCCTTTAAAAAATAAAATCAAAGTGCCTGAAGAATTAAGGTAATCAGTTATTCAGGCCACATAGACATAAATATTTCTCTCTATTTTCGTTGACGGCTGTTTACTGTAAATTCTGGTTTATGTTTTATTTGAATGTGTTTACCTTTGCTACTTAAGAATGAAAATGAATAGTAGTTTTGAACATTTTTTATTTTATATCTAAAATGCATATATATATTGTATATATAAAATAAGCAAAAGCATTTTTCATCTTACTGTGGTAATGGAAAAAATATGTTGTTTTTTTTCTTGCACTAAAAAGTAATGTGACATGGGGAAAACTTTTTCAATTTTGAGACTATCAGAAATCTACTTATGGGACAAGAAAACCAACTAGAGTTTCACTAGTCCGTTTTTTGAGAAGGGCATTTAGGAGAGCATTGAGAGCATTTGGCTGATCTATGAAGGGCATGCTGATTATCACGCTGAGTTGTGAGAAAAATAAAGCAGACCACTCTCTTGGATTTGCAGTTTACTGACAATCTCTGTTTGTGATAAAACGTATCATGTTATTGGTGTTTTGTATTTTGAAGTAACCTGGAAGAAAAAGATAGATGGATATCTCTCTTGAAGGAGCCTGGCTTTTTTTCCATACATTTCACAAGTCAAGGGCCCTACAGCAAGGAAGGTCTAATCGAATTCTCACACTTGCCGTGCACCGTGGTGCCTGTTTATGCTCCTCACTATTGCTTACAACAGAATCCATCATAAAGATATAAGCCAAATGACTGCTCTCTGATGAGCTGTGGGTCCCATTCTAATTAGATGCTATAAATAAAAATGTAAGCTACATGAATACCATTTGATGCAATATTGAACACATTTTAATTAGGTTTTTAGAATATATATATATATATATATATATATATATTTTTTTTTTTTTTTTTTTTTTTTTTTCATTTAAGCAAATGCATTGTGGGGGGGGGGGTGGGAGCACATGTACTCATGAATGCAGGTGCCTTTGGAGGCTAGAAAATCCATGGAGCTGGAGTTACAGATAGTTGTGGGCCATCTGACAAGGATAGTCTGAAAACTTGGTCCTCTGCCTAAGCAGCGCACATTCTTGATTGCCGAGATATTTCTTCAGGCACAGTTTAAAGAGTAACAGAATTAATTAATGAATTCAGGTTTAGATTAAATATGCAGTTAGTAAAATGTCCTGTGTAACTGAGTTGTTTTTTTTTTTTCTTCTTCTTCTTCAGACCTTTCTCCCGTAAGCAGTGTTAGGTAAATTTCCCTTCTACTCAGAACAGGTCTAGGACAGAGGGGGGAAGTAGGAGATCACATCGTGCAGAACCGTTCCTTCTCCCTCTCTCTCAGGCCACAACCGAGTGAGGGTGTGTGCGCCCTGCAGCTCTGAATGAAAATAGAGCCGGTGCTCACTCCACTCATTCAAATGCAGGTTGCGTGTGACTTCATTCATTCGCTGATGGCGTCATGAAGGGCATTGACTGGCCTCAAATTCTCTCCTATGCTTTATCAGTCCTTTGGTTTCTCTGATCTAATAGTGTTAGGTGTTGGGTTAATAACTGATTAATTCTATGTCATACAATTATTACAGATTGATCACTTGCAATATATTACTTTTTTATATTGACCATCACATTTTGTAACTATTTAACTGCTTGCAATGACAATGTTCATGGAATTGCCTGGCAAGATGCTATGTGCTACATGTTGTACTTAAGATGATTTGCATCTCTGATATCTGATCTGATTCTTGGTTTTAGATACCATTTAGATGTTACAATAATTTTGGTATAATTTTCCAATTCAAGTTATTTTATTTAATTTTGCTTTTAGGTAGGCTTATATACTCAGTGTTCTTTAGTAAGCACATATATTATAGCTCAAATGTCAAAATGATTTAATATTTGACAACTAAGTTTCATTTTAATTCAGGCATATATTTGTGTGCGCATATTTGATTTACACAGTGTACATATTTCTTTACATTTATGTCCATAGATTTTTTTCTAACTTCATTACAAATTGCTTGTAATCAGGGTTAAAGGTTTTCATCAGGCTTGTCTAAAACTGGGTATGAAATATAACTTAGGTTTTAATGATTATGATGACTTTGTTAGAAGGTCTAGACTATTTTCTCCAGTCCATTCAGAAAGAACATAATTAGCAGCATTCACCAGGAAAGCTGTGAATTACTGTAGAATAGTACTCTCTACTAAGGAACATTAATGTGCTGATAACTGAGTCAGCTAATAGCTAATAGCTGACTCAATGCCAGTATTGTAGAGTTGAGGACTTTCAGGCCATGGGTTTTGCCAGGTGTCTCTACATGAAGTTCTACAGAAATTTCAGGCACTACAGTATCTTTAAAATGTGAAGATTACCCCAATGAAGACAATTGCATTGTGCTCTTTTCTATTGTTTTCTAATCCCAGTGACTTAATGGATAAAGATGGAAGAATCTTGTCTGATTTAGTGTATATTCCACAGAAATTTACATGTTCAATTGCACATCTAAAAACTAATTATTGTATTGAAGCACACAACTTCTAAATCCCATTCCAGGTAATAAACATATGTGATTTCACAAACTCATACAAGTATTTTTGTGTCAATTTCTTATCTGAGCCCATAATTTCTCTGTAAGCCAACTTGTGTATAAAGAAACATTTATTATGCTACCTAAAGTTCTGTGTTTCTAAGAGTTCCTAGCTGGTCACCAACTGGTTCAGAGAATACACAATCTATTTTATCTTGTAAGTTTTGATATAAGTGTTGAAAAATACTGACTAAGGATTCTGTGATTCTTAGAAAACAAAACTCAAAACTTTTCCCAAAAGATGATTATAACACATGGATTTTGCTCTCTAAATCTACAGGCAAAGAAGAGAAAAATCACATGTTCCAATGATTGAATGATAAATACATTAGGGTTTTTGTTTTGTTGTATTCTTCTGTCAATTTTTTCTATTTTTTGAACTATATTAAAAATTTTACATGTAATACATTTTACTCATATTCTTTCCCGAGTCTCCTCCCAATCCTCCCATCTTCCCTACCTACCCAATTTCTGTTCTTCCCCCACCATCTCTCTCTCTAAAATGAACAAACAAATGGAGAAAAAAAACAACAAAACAAGAAAAATATAAAAAGCAAAGCCTACAGAGTAAAAGAAAGTAAAACAGGAGGGCAAAAATACTAAGGCAAAACAAAAAGTACACAGAAGGGATTTGTTTTGTACTGGTCAATTATTCCTGCGCACAGAGTCTAAGCTAGAATGTAGTTGACACTCCATTAGAAAACCCATTTGTTCTTTACTAGTAAGTATCAACTAGAAATAGCTACTTAGGTGTGGGACCTTGTGTCTCCTTCTCAGTTTTAGGATTTTGTCTGTATTGAACTTGTAGTGTCTTGTGTATGCTGTCATCACTCTCTCTGAATTCATACCTGGATTGATCCTTTTGTATTTGGAAGACACTCTTTCCTTGGAGTCATCTAAGACCTCTGCATCTTGAAATCTTTCCTCCACTTCTTTCTCATAGATCCCTGAGCCTTGATGTAAATGGTTTGATTTAAAACATCCCATTTAGGGCTGAGCACTCCAAAAGTTTTTCACTCTGTTCATTGTCCATTTGTGGAACTCTTTGTTAATTGCCAACTGCAACAAAAATAAACTTTTCTGATAATTGTTGAGTGATGCTCTGCTTCATGGGTATAACACTATGCAATTAATAATCATTTTGTCACCATTCTATTTAAGCAGAATAATAATAGGGTTTCCCTTGAGCCCATGATCTATGTATTCTCCAAGTTCCTGGACACATTTTCTGTGTAATGTATGGCTTCCATCTCACAGAGTGGACCTTAAAAATCCAATTTTAAAAATAAGTAGCTTGTTACTCCCATAGCCTTTATGCCATGATTGCACAAGTATATTTTGCACGCTTGTCTCTATTGCCAGTACAGTTTGTAACTGGTTGATACTGATGATTACTTTTGTTTTTGTAACATCAGAGTACCTTCTCCTTTGCTCAGTTTAGAGGGACTTGTTCTCATGTCTTCCTCCAACCCATCTGGTTCTTACACTCTTTAAGACTCATTTTACTTGGGGTTCCCTGATCTCTGAGGGGAAGAATTTGAGGGAAGCCTCCATTTAGAGCTGTGTGTTCTAAGGTTTCTGTCACTCTGTGAGTAATGTTTGGTTGTGGGTATCTGTATATTTTCCATGTGCTGCAGAAAGGAGTCTCTCTGATGATGGCTCGATCTATGAACCTTCTAATATGGCTTTTTATTTTTTAGTGGCAAGGAAACCCATGAAAATGTTTGGAATACTAGATATGATTACACATTTGCATTTAAAATTCAGACTCAGCTATTTACAGTTAAAAAAATACTTGTGATTTTTCTATACCCATGGCCTGTACAATCAGGATAGTTTTTTTTTTTTTCTCATTTTGATATGTACTTTAGTTTTTCCAAAATCTTGAGTTATATACTTTATTTACTTGTGACTTTTGTTATCTTTTAAAAGTATTTTTTGAGATTTTCATATGATTACATGATTTTTTCCTGCCCTTTCCTTCACCCAAATTCTCTTATATACCTGTTGTTGCTCTCTTTCAAATTCACGACCTCCTACCTTATTCATTATTTGTTGTTGTGCAGCCTGGTTGTTCTGTGTAATGTTAGTAGATTTTCTTCTTAGGACTTTTAAAAATCTGTCTCAGAGCTGGCTGCAGAGTCCTCCTCTGTGGCCTAGCAGAACTGCTCCTACCTTGGGGGGTGGGGAGTCAAAGAGCCTGACATTGAGTTCCTGTCAGAAATAGTCCTTGTTCCCCTTACTATGGGACACCAATTGGTTATTGAGCTACTACGAGCTTCGTCTGAGTAAAGGTTCTAGGTTATATCCATACATGGTCCTTGGTTGGAGAAACAGTTTCAGAAAA